TGCATTTATCTTTTCCTACATTTTTTCTCATTTTTTCCTTGACTTCAACCGTGAAAAAAATAAATGATGACATATTGACACCGCTTGAGAAACACCACCGTCTCTTTCTACGGCTGTTTAGTCCCTAAATTGATAATGAAAAAGCCCACCATGGAGAGACATCAAATACACATATTGATTCTTTCTTCTCTCTTCCATGAGAAAAGGTTATTTTCTCATCTTTTATCATGAAATTTTCATGTATTCCTGACTTCTAATTTTGATAAACTTCGCATTGTACCCTTCTGTGTATTTGCTTTATAATTCATCAAGAGTTGATCCAACTGTCGAAAATCCATTTATGATACTATCAAAATTGCAGCACCGGTAATCTGAATTTGAGATTCATTTCATACACTGAAGTTGGTAACTTTCTTCTTTTTACCAAAAAAAAAAAAACTCTTCGATCGAAAACTAAAAGGTGCATTTCTCTTGAAACTTCTGATCCAAAATTTCTTCTTCAAATCTGATATTGTTAACTTTTTATTTTTATTGTGTTGCTTCACCGTTGTTGAACTTATTGGTTTACTCTTTTCTCTGCTAATCTCTCTATTCTTTGAATGAACATTAAGACTCAGAGCAAAGGCAAAATGAGGGAAGAAATACACTATTTAGCCTCTTTATTTAATCTTTCTATACTTTCCTCATATGCATTTTCATTTCATCTGTCCTAATTACTTAATTCTGGGGGGAAACGAACATGATATGCTTATTTTGGCGCCCATGATGTGTTCGACACAATGACCACACAGAAAAATTGCCCACTGCTTCTGTAAATGATGCTAACAAGTGCCCAGTTATTTAATTAACAGTGGTGGGCCAGTAACTCTTTCGGAAGAAATCTTTAGCATCTATGCCTTTTTTGCTTATATTACCCTCATTTTATTTAATAAAAAAGGATTTAGTAAAAAGAAAAAAAAATTACGATAAACTAACGAAACCTAAATAAAAAAAAAGGAGCAAATCTTAAAAGACCATGTTAACAAGTGAATGTTTGCGGCATGTAAAATTTACACCCTTTCAATTTAACAAGTGAATGTTTTTGCTGAATATATATATTTTAAATGGGTATGCTTATGGAACAAAAGATCATGAATAATTGGGGATGAAGGCCGAGAATAATTTAGACTCTTTATCAATTGCATCTTCTTGTTTTCCATCTATGGTTGAAGTAACTTCCCTATAAATTAAGTGTTAAAAGTACATTCTTTATCATTGTTTGCTATTTATCTATTTAGGTGCTATCTATTTTTTCGTTTTACAATCAATAATATGAGAAATTGATTACGCCAGCTATATTTTGTGGTGTTGTGAATGTTCCTTAATGCTTGACGAAAAAGAATAATCATAATGTCGCAGCTTTTTAGTACGACCATACTATTGACACTTGCCAAAAATGAATACTCATATAGATGGATTTTTGACAGATAAAAGAAGTCCTCGCATGGTGAAAGAAGCTCATGATAAGAATATCAAAAATTGTGGGATCTATTATCATATGACAATGCCTTAGAAAGCAGCATTGTTGTTGCAACAACACCTCAACTGTAGAGAGGCAACAGAAAATCATCTTCTTGCAAACACAAATCATGTCAACTCCATCTCAAATGCAGGGTAATCTTGCTATTACACCTTCCTTCTACTTCAGAAATATGTTAGAATATCGAATCTTCTATTTATTTCTTTCCTCATACATCATATATATGAATATAACAATGGTTATGCATGAAAACAATGGTATCCGTCCAACTTGCATGCTCTATCATAGGGGTGTACAAAGGAANGGATCTATTATCATATGACAATGCCTTAGAAAGCAGCATTGTTGTTGCAACAACACCTCAACTGTAGAGAGGCAACAGAAAATCATCTTCTTGCAAACACAAATCATGTCAATTCCATCTCAAATGCAGGGTAATCTTGCTATTACACCTTCCTTCTACTTCAGAAATATGTTAGAATATCGAATCTTCTATTTATTTCTTTCCTCATACATCATATATATGAATATAACAATGTTTGATTTTCGTAAGATGAGGATGTGTGCAACTAGTAGTTAGAAGGATGAAATCATTCAAATCGAGGAATTTTTCTGGCAAAAAGCTTAAAATACATCTTCATTCACAAACTCGACAAGCAATATAAGGAAGTCTAGAGCGCAACTTTGATTATGTAATTGGCCATTTTAGCCAACAAAGCATTCAAGAGTTTCCTACAAAAGTTTTATTAGCCTACAAAAGCAATCAAGGATTTTCTTGAATGTGTAAGTTACGTTCTACCATCAAAATTCAAAAGATAAGCTTATCTTTCCAAATGTTTCAAAATACTAGTGTCAAATCATTCAACACGAAAAATTCCAACCAAGTTGTAGGTTTGGAGTTGCAATCAAGAAATAAAAAACAGAAGAAAGAATGATCCATAGCTTTCGAACATACCAAAACGCTAGAAGAATGGACGGTGACGGCAGCCCTAACTATTGTAATTGTTACGCTACTGACTTCCCTTCTTTTTTTTAATTTTTGGTTCTTACTTTATTAAATTATGCCTCTAGACCTTAGTATGTCTTGTGTGGTTAATTTAACTAAATTGAGTGTAAGCAGCCGGTGTAGGTAAATTTTAACCATTTATAGCTTGTTTGGTGGTGCTTTTTTTGGCCAAAAGTGTTCTTTTTGTTACCAAAGTATTTCTTTTCACAGTTAAGATATTTGACCACGCTTTCAGACGGAACAAAAATACTTTTAAGTAGAAGTAGAAGTAATTTTTGAAAAGTAGAAAAAGTAGTTTCTCCACAAAAGTATTTTTTTAAAAGTATTTTTTGTATAGGATAAAGTTGGTTTATATTAAATGATCGAATGGTAGCGTGACGCGTGGAACCGAAGACAGGCAGAAGATAAATCGAGTAATAGCCAGTACCGGGAACAACAGCTGTAATTGGCATCAGATAGACTCCGAAGGAAGCACAATCAACGGGAGTGGATCGAATGTTTGTCACCAGATGGCAATCAATGAAGAATATTCCCTAGCATTAAATGGGAAGTCATTGCAAAGAATATTTGCATTCATAGTCTGCCGTTACATATTCATCAATGGCCCATTGACCCATTTATTGTCATTTAAGAGGGGCTTGATCCTAAGATCTTGTTTCCCTAGGTATAGCTATAAATAGCAGTTTCAATAGCCATTGTAAAGCGACGAAATCCTTGGCAAAACTTATGCTACATTTCATTCTCAAGCTCAAATAAAATAACTTTATTATTTGTTCTTTATATTGTTCTTATCTCTATCCTTGGAGGAATTGCCTTCGGAGCCAAGCTTGTCATTTCCCTTGATTCTAACTGCTAAGTCTTACTTTTAATATTATTTCATTATCATTTTTGGATCAAATCAATTCTCTTATCTATAAACTACGTAACAAATTCAACTGTACTGTTTTACGGTAAATAATTTTTGAGAAAAATATACTTAGAAGCACTTTTTAAAAGTTTGGTCAAACATCAATTGCCGCTCAAAAGTATTTTTCAAATTAATTAGACAATCTGCTTCCCACCAAAAATATGTTTTTGAAAAGCACTTTTTTAAAAAAAATACTTTTTGAAATAAGTTGATTTTAGAAGCATGGCCAAACAAGCTATTATAATAAGTACCATGGCGTGGACATCATCTCTTATTCAAAACGAGGGATGGGGTGTTGCAAAAGCACTTCTAATACTAAAACGTAAATCACTCTTATGAAATTATAAAGTCACTGTATGGGTCTAAATTTGGCAACCACGACCATTATCGAGTAGGACAAGGAACGAGGCTATCATGATAACCCGTCTGATGGCCGTCGTGGTGAAAGGTAACGACTGAGGGCGATCAGTTGATGCATAACGTCCATGACAGTGTAAATTTAGTGGGAGACAGTAAGAATATGCTTTTCGAATATTCTCTATGTTGTACTTTTTAGGGTTTTTTGGGAGATTGTCCCTTATAAATAGGAAGGGTGAGTAAAGAAGAGGGGGACGGGAGAAAAAAGACAAGAATACTTTGTAAAAGAATCATCTGAGAGTGAATGCAAAAGCAGTCTTGTTCATCTAAGAAAGATCCTAAGATTCCTCAATCATCTCATACTTGTTCACTCCTACACCGATTGCACCTGTTAGGATTCTCTTGTGCATTTAAGTCTTCACATTTATGATCATTTATTCGAATTGAACATACTTATTACATAGTTCATCTTGCTTACTCTTTCCACCATTTGATCTAGATTTTATTGTGCTTGACTAAGATTGACCTCGTCATTATCATTAGTTGTTTTAATCAGAAAGGTTTTGACATGTTTTGGTCAAACAATTTGGCGTCGTTTGTGGGGACATCTTTGGTTTAGATTTCAGTTTCATCTAGATCTTAGAAAGGGATAGTCACCTCTTCCTAGCTTTGCACAAACTAACAATGGCAGGAAAAAGAGATGCAAGGCTAAAAGCAATAGCAGGTGTCACAACCAACATCTTAAACACCATCAACGAAGACAACAGGGAAGATAACGAAAGCGTGACACTAAACACCACACCCAGGGAAGACATTTCACCTCCCCCGCACGAAAGTATAACTGCTTCGCACGAGAAGGAAGCCTCCACGTCTGCAACAAGAGAGGCACCACCGGTAGTAAGAAGACTACTGTAAGAGTGTCTAACAAGCACTCTGAACAACATACTTGATAAACCCGCTCGAAGGGATGATAGAGACATTGCATACGTAGATGTCACGACGATCGCTGACGAACAAGACATCCCCGCACAGGTAACACTCACATTACTGTTGGTACAGGTGATGATACGCTCGCAGCCGTTCTAAAGAAAATGGAGGAAATGGAAAATGAGAATAAGACACTCAGTGACCAGATGAAGGATCACCAAGAAAGGGTCGACAAAATACCAGGTGCCCCAAAGTTGTTCCCAAAACGGGACGTTGGTCGATTCATCGAGCAACCATACAATGAGGAAGCAGCCCCCCATGCCATTCCAAAAACCTTCAAAATTCCACCGTACCTGAAGATATATGACGGTACTACCAACCTAGAAGATCATATCATCCACTACGTCACAGCCGTAAAAGGTAACTATCTTTCGAAAGAGTAGGTGCCATCGGTGTTACTGAAAAAAAATTGGTGAAACCTTAACAAGGGGAGCCCTGACCCGGTACTCACAACTACCGGCACGTTCAATAGCAACGTTCGAAGAAATGGCGGACAAGTTTGTCACCGCTCATGCAGAAGCCAAAAAGGCGGAAGTCAGGGTAAACGACATATTTATCGTTAGGCAGATGCACGGCGAGGGACTCAGGGACTTCTTAGCTCGGTTTAACAGGGTGAGAATGAGCTTGCCAAACATGTCAGAGGGAATAGCGGTAGCGGCCTTCCAGAATAGGTTAAACCGAAATGGGTCGAGAGCGACCAGAAAATTGTTAAACAAGCTCATAAAATAACCTCCAACCGCTTGGGAAGAAATCCACAACGCCTACTGCGCCAAGGTAAGAGCCGATGAAAATGACCTCAACGGTCTAATCCAACGGTTGACGTCAGTTCAAGCTGAAGCAAGGAAAGGTCATCGCAAAGACGGTGGAAGAGATCAGTTGGGATCCCGTCTCGGCCAAGAAAGGTATCAGCCCTACATCTGGACATCTATCCTACCTCTTCCGCGGCATACGGATGCTCCTTCTCGACTTGCTGTGCCACACCGACACGAGAAAGGTATGCCCCCACTCTTATCTGCTCACAATTTCTGTGCCTCTCCTTTAGAAATAGTGTACGCACTAGAGAAACTCGGTACAAAGGTGCAACGGCCAAAAAATATGAAGTTCGACCCAAGCACTCAGAAGTTGAACGCTCTCTACGAATTCCACCAGGAAAGGGGTCATAAAACCGAAGATTGCATAGGGATGCGGCAAGAGGTCGTGAGAATGCTAAATTAGGGACACCTGAAAGAAATGCTTAGTAATCGAGGACGGGCTAACTTTGCCCGCGAACGCGAACAACCCCAGGGACCTCCAAAACCACCCTCTCCCGCTCGCACTATACAGATGATCATCGGCGGAGGCAATGATACAACAATCAACCATGTAAAGTTCGCCACCACACATAAACTCAAACGGTCGATCACTTACGAACGGTATGATGACCTCGAAAATAGTATCGTCTTCGATAAATCAGATACCGACAGTTTGTCTTTCCCTCACTATGATGCTCTTTTTATCACTTTACATATTGCAGATACGGATGTAAAAAGAATAATGGTAGATGACGGAAGAGGCGCGTGCATTATCCATCCTCGAGTCCTCGTACAGATGAGATTCGAAGATAAAATAATACCGCATTGCATAACACTAACAGGTTTTAATAATGCAGTCGAGCGAACTTCTAGAGAGATAGTGCTACCCGTCCTAGCCGGAGGGGTCACCTCAGAAATGACGTTTCACGTCATGGACCAAGATACAGCCTACAACGCTATCATAGGGTGCCCGTAGATACACGCCATGCAAGCAGTCCCGTCATGTCGCTATCAACTAATCAAGTTTCCTACTTCATGGGGGTATTCAGCATCCGGGGCGAACAACGCACCGCACAGGAATGCTATCACATTGCCCAGGATTGCGCACACACCTAACAACTAAAAGGAGCAAGTGCAGGATCATAGCAATCAGCGATGTCGGGAACCAAAGTTGACGTACGGCAGACGTTATCAAGGACCCCTACATCGTGGAAACATCCGAGTCAACAATAGAAGATCCTGATCCCGTACTACTATACGACAATGACAGCACAAAAAAGGCTTATATCGGGCATAATCTCTTGGAACCAGGTAAGTTTCATAAATTCTTAGCTGACAGTATTGATCTGTTTGCCTTCTCCCATGTAGATATGCTAGGCATCCCGAAAGACATCGCTACGCACAAACTGAATGTTGACCCCCTTTACCCACCAATGCGGCAAATAAGGCAGAAGTTCAATGACGCAATCAACGAAGCCGTCAGCGAAGAAGTCGATAAGCTACTCGCAAATGGCTCCATCCGAGAGTCAAAATATCCTCAGTGGATCGCCAATGTGGTCATGGTAAAGAAGAAAAACGGAAAGTGGCGGATGTATGTGGATTTCACAGACCTAAACAAGGTATGCCCAAAAGACTCCTTTTCATTGCAACACATCGACCAACTCATCAACGCAACAGCAGGGCACGAGTTGCTTAGCTTCTTAAAGGCCTCTCGGGTTACAACCAGATCCTCATAGAGGAAGAAGACCAAGAAAAAACCACTTTCATCACTCACCAAGGAACATACTGCTACAGGGTCATGTCGTTCAGACTAAAGAATGCAGGAGCGACGTACCAGAGATTGGTCACCAAGATGTTCAAAGATCAGATCGGCAAAACAATGGAAGTCTATATCGACGACATGCTAGTTAAGGAAAAAAGAAAAGAAGACCACATCAATCATCTGAAGGAAGCCTTTGACATACTAAGGCAATTCGGCGTGAAACTAAACCCCAAAAAATGCGCCTTCGGCGTAACCTTGGGCAAATTCCTCGATTTCCTAGTGTCGCAAAAAGGCATCGAGGTCAATCCATATTATATTAAGGCCATCGACGGAATACCAAAATTATTAACCAGCAAAAAAACGGGTGCAAAAATTGACAGGTCGGATAGCCTCCCTGTTAAGGTTCATCTCACGGTTGTCAGACAGGTGCCATAAATTTTTCAGTGTGCTAAAGAAACACAACGGGCTCCAATGGAATTCGGAGTGTGTCGATGCCCTGAAAAAATTGAAAACCTACTTGTCCTCACCATCGTTACTCGCCAAAGCAGATCCAGGCGAATGCTTCCTCATCTACCTAGTCATTTCTGAAGTCGCGGTAAGCGCGATTTTGGTCCGCAAAAACAAAGGTACGTAATCTCCGATTTACTATATCAGCAAAACCTTAGTTGACACCGAAACGAGGTATCCCCACCTCGAAAAACTAGCTCTGGCGTTGGTCGTAGCTTCACGTAAGCTCGGACAATATTTTTAGTGTCACCCCATAAAGGTGGTCAACTTTTCCCCTCATGAGCATTTTGCACAAGCTTGAGTTGTCGGGTAGATTGGCCAAATGGGCCATAGAATTAAGCGAGCATGATATAACATATCAACCGTGAACTGTGATAAAATCTCAAGTACTCGCCGACTTCGTCGCTGACTTTAGTCCAAAAATATTGTCTGAGGTCGAGCAAGAAGCGCTTTGCGCCTCCCCTGGGCG